GGTCAGGTAGGTACATCTAAGGTTAGTTTTAGGGTCAGGTAGGTACCTTTTAGGTTAGTTTTAGGGTCAGGTAGGTACCTTTTAGGTTAGTTTTAGGGTCAGGTAGGTACCTGTGAGGTTAGTTTTAGGGTCAGGTAGGTACCTGTGAGGTTAGCTTTAGGGTTTGTGGTCAGGGTCACAACTGATGACATGAGCTCATCCTACAGTCAGATTACAGCTGCTGCAGGAGAAAAACATTAATTAGTTAAAAATACAGATTAATAAAGTCAACATGTTATCTTCTGTTTTGTTTCTGACTGCCTGTCTTATGAAGAGTGCTGTCAGGGAGTGACACACTCACTTTGGTTTCAGAGAAAAGACAATTTTCTGCAGAGATTTATTATATGTATTTATTTAGTCTGGCCTTGAGTTGAACCTGCAGCTGTAGGACAGCAGTGGGTCCAGATTTCAGGACCAGGGACAGCTCCTCACTGTGAGMCATCGGTGCTAACCACTGATCCATCGTGCTGCAGAGTCTGTAGCTGTAGAGACAGGACTGACTCTGGTTCMCAGCAGGTTAATGTCCACATCTGTCCTCAGCTCAGGGACAGGTCCCAGTCCCAAAGCTCAGCTTTGACCCTGTTCCAGGYTCAGTCAGGTCTAAACCTGGATGTGGACCCGGTCAGGTGAGCCWGCCTTCAGAGTAAAGCTCACACACGTTGTGATGTTTTTATAAACTGTAGGTCCAATCAGGATGAAGGTCCAAAGGTCAGGAGCCAATCAGAGCAGAGCTTTTCACTGAGTCATCCTGTAGTTAAAGAGCTGGGCTCATCTTGTTTGGTGGTTTCAGTGTCATGAGTTTGACTCAGAGGAAATGTGAGGATTGAGGAAAGAGAGCTGTYCTTTTTAAACAGATAAAAACATATAAATAAAACGATTAGAAGAGACTTTACTGTTCAGAAACAGAAATCATCTGTTTGGAGTGAACAGAACTCAGCTCCTGCTGGACCAGAGACCCTCCTCCTGACCTGATCCTGTCTCCTGTACAGGACAACAAACAAACAAACAAACACACCAACCAACAAACAAACACCAAAATTAAACAAATCATCATTAAATCCTACAGATGTGGATCATCTCACTCTGTCCTCACTTCAACTACATCTGTAGAGCTCCTTTTTGTCTTTTTCCTGCATCTGTCCCTCTAACGTCCTTCTACCAGTTTACCCACTGTCCCTCCTCTGGACACGTCCAAACCAATTCTGTCTTTCCTCTGGACACGTCCAAACCAATACTGTCCCTCCTCTGGACACGTCCAAACCAATACTGTCCCTCCTCTGGACACGTCCAAACCAATACTGTCCCTCCTCTGGACATGTCCAAACCAATACTGTCCCTCCTCTGGACATGTCCAAACCATCTCATTCCGGTCTCTAACTTTGTCTCTGTCCCTCAGCCTTGCCTGTCCCTCTGATGGTCTCAGTCCTGATCTTGTCCAAGGAGAACCTGAAGATCTTCAGCTCTGGTACATCCAGATCTGTCTGCTGTCTTTTTGTCCATGTCTCTGTCTCCAGCCCAGATGTGGTGTCTCTGTTGGTCAGTGTGTCCTCTGTCTCTTGCTGTCTCTCTCCAGTCATAAATCAGGATCAAACCTGTCTAAAACTAAAGTTTGGTTGTTTGTCCCTGTGGGACTCTGTCCAGCAGCTGACAGGCTGAACTCCTGCAGACAAAAGGTTTTTCTGTTAAATCTTCAGTCTGAGGCTTCTGTCCTCATTAGAGCTTTGTCCACATGTCTGCTCTGAGTGGACATAATGAGACAGCATTTATTGTTCTGGCATGATTAACGTTGTCCTCAACCTGTGGACGTCCCTGTCTCTGAGACGTGGTCACGCTGCAGCAGCTTCAGTTTAAAGAGATTTACGGTGATAAGAGTGACCTGTTTAGATGTGAGTCTGCAGGACGTGATGACAGGAAGTGATACCAGCAGAGCTGCTTGTTTGATGACAGAGGATTAAAAAGGCTTTATGATGGACCAGGTGCAGGATTAATACTCCTCTCTGCAGTCATTTCCATGCACACTGCAGTCTGAGGACACGTGCAGTAAGGTCTGAGGAAGAGGAAGTGCTGCTGAGAGATGAAGATCACTTCATCCAGGCTGCAGCAGCAGGTTCTGATGGTGACAGAACTAAAGCTTTGTCCTACAAGTCTTCTCTGGTGCTACATGTTAGAATAAAATGAAGTTTGAAGCATTTTGTTTAAATCAACCGAAGGCTAATAGATGAGCTAATGCTAACAGACATGTCATGTCAGATGTTTGATGGTTAAAATGTTCTGAGTTAATATATACCGTATTTATTCGAGTATAACACGTCAAATTTAATCCATAAAATCATCCATAAAGTTGGGGGGTAGTATTATACTCGGATAAATATTTTTACTTATGTATTTTAACTGAAATTTCGGCAAAATTATTGAGTCCTTAAATGAGACCACGTTGTAAAAATCAGTTGAAACGAGCTCACCTCTGACACTCCTCTGT